CAACCTTAATTATTTAATCACCCTATACCTAAGCATGGTGGGGATGGGTTGATGGTTGGCCTCAATGACCTTGGGGCACTTTTTTAACCTTAATTATTTAATCACACTATAACTGAGCATGGGGGGGATGGGTTGATGGTTGGCCTCGATGGTCTCGGAGATTTTTTCCAAGCTTAATTATTTAATCACTCTATACCTAAGCATGGTGGGGATGGGTCAGTGGTCGGACTTGTTGGAGGCAATGTCTGAGATCATCAAGTCCAACAGCCAACCCGTCCCACCATGCCCACTCATGGAGGTCTTTTCCAACTCTACAGTGGTAGGAGTGGGGCCGGTGGGATGGTTGGTGGTGGGACTGGAGGACGATGGTGGTGGGACTGGAGGACGATGGTGGTGGGACTGGAGGACGATGACCACAGTGGTCTCTTCCAACCTCAGCCATTCTCTGGCTCTCCCCCCAGGCCTGCTGGAGGGGCTACCAGCAGCGCAAGGCTTACCTGCAGCGCCTGCACTTCCTGAGAGCCCACGTGGACGCCGTGATCAAGGTTGGCCTCCTCTCCCTCCACCCCCTGCTCCCACCTTCGTGTCACCAGCGATAAGCGCGGCGTGTCCCTCCCTGCTTTGTACTACTGGGGGGAGCGGTGCAGCTGGGCAGCACGGGGTGACCCAGTGCCCCCAGTATGGCGCACAGAGACACAGTGCTTCCCAGTATGGGGTGCAGGAACCCAGGGCCTCTGAGTACTGTGTGACCCAGTGCTCCCAGTATGGCACACAGAGACACAGTGCTTCCCAGTACAGAGTGTCCCAGTGCTCCCAGTATGGTGCATTGAGACACAGTGTTTCCCATTATGGGGTGCAGGGACTCAGTGCCTCTGAGTACAGCGTGACCCAGTGCTCCCAGTATGGGGTGACCCAGTGCCCCCAGTATGGGATGACCCAGTGCTTCCCAGTATGGGGTGCAGGGACTGAGTGCCTCTGAGTACAGCGTGACCCAGTGCTCCCAGTATAGGGTGACCCAGTGCCCCCAGTATGGGATGACCCAGTGCTTCCCAGTATGGGGTGCAGGGACTCAGTGCCTCTGAGTACAGCGTGTCCCAGTGCTCCCAGTATGGGGTGACCCAGTGCTCCCAGTATGGCGCACAGAGACACAGTGCTTCCCAGTACAGTGTGTCCCAGTGCTCCCAGTATGGGGTGACCCAGTGCTCCCTGTATGGCACACAGAGACACAGTGCTTCCCAGTACAGAGTGTTCCAGTGCTCCCAGTATGGGGTGACCCAGTGCTCCCAGTATGGCACACAGAGACACAGTGCTTCCCAGTACAGTGTGTCCCAGTGCTCCCAGTATGGGGTGTAGGGACTCCCCCTCCCCCACTGGTTCTGATGGAGCGTCTCCCCCCAGATCCAAGCGGCTGTGAGGATGTGGAGGGCTCGGAAACGGTACCAGGAGAGGCTGCGCTACTTCAGGGAGAATGTGAGTGATGGGTGGGGGCTGAACCCCTCCTCTGTGCGGCCCCCCTGCGGAGGGAGGAGGGTGGGGGTGAGGGTGGGGGTAGGAAGTGATGCTGGGATGGGCAGGGAGAGAAAAACGCTCAAAAAAGCCAACGGAGGCTTTGATGGAGGGAGGGTCTGGGGGAAAGGCTGCGGGCGCACAGAGCAGGGATGGAGCTGACAGCTGAAGGGGCTGAGGGGGGTCCCTGAGAGCACAGCTGGGGTCTGGGTGCCACCGCCATGGGGTCTGGGTGCCACCAAAGGGTCACGTCCTGGTGCTCCTGTTGGTCTCGGCAGATCGCAGCTGTCGTTAAGATCCAGGCTTTTGTGAGAGCTAACAAAGCCCGTGCGGATTACAGGATGCTGGGTGAGTGTGGCGGGGGGTTGGGGGGGGTTGGGTCTGTGCTCCCAGCATGGGGCGCAGGGACCCAGTGCTCCCAGTATAGGGCACAGGGGCTTAGTGCCTTCCCAGTGTGGGGCAAGCCAGTGCTCCCAGTATAGGATGCAGGGAGGGACGTGATGCTTCCCAGTATGGAGTGACCCAGTGCTCCCAGTATGGGGTGACCCAGTGCTCCCAGTACAGGGCACAGGGACACAGTGCCTTCCCAGTACGGGGCAACCCAGTATAGGGTGCAGCGAGGGACATGATGCTTCCCGGTAAGGGGTGACCCAGTGCTCCCAGTATGGGGCAACCCAGTGCTTCCAGTACAGGGCACAGGGACACAGTGCTCCCAGTATGGGGCAACCCAGTAGTCCTAATATGGGGCACAGGGACACAGTGCCTTCCCAGTGTGGGGCAACCCAGTGCTCCGAGTACAAGATGCAGAGAGGGACATGATGCTTTCCAGTATGGGCTGTCCCAGTGCTCCCAGTGTGGGCTGTCCCAGTGCTCCCAGTATAGGGTGCAGGGAGGGACATGATGCTTCCCAGTATGGGCTGTCCCAGCACTCCCAGTTTCGGGCATCTCAGCGCTCCCAGTATGGCTGCCCCAGCGCTCCCAGTACGGGTGTCCCAGCTCTCCCAGTACGGGCTGTCCCAGCGCTCCCAGTGTTGGGTTTCCCAGTTCTCCCAGTATGGGTGTCCCAGCGCTCCCAGTACGGCTGTCCCAGCTCTTCCATTGTGGGCTGTCCCAGTGCTCCCAGTATAGAGTGCAGGGAGGGACATGATGCTTCCCAGTATGGGCTGTCCCAGCGCTCCCAGTACGGGCTGTCCCAGCGCTCCCAGTGTTGGGTGTCCCAGTTCTCCCACTATGGCTGTCCCAGCTCTCCCAGTGTTGGCTGTCCCAGCGCTCCCAGTGTTGGGTTTCCCAGCTCTCCCAGTACGGCTGTCCCTGCGCTCCCAGTGTTGGGTTTCCCAGTTTTCCCAGTATGGGTGTCCCAGCGCTCCCAGTACGGCTGTCACAGCTCTCCCATTGTGGGCTGTCCCAGTGCTCCCAGTATAGAGTGCAGGGAGGGACATGATGCTTCCCAGTACGGCTGTCCCAGTGCTCCCAGTGTTGGGTGTCCCAGTGCTCCCAGTGTTGGGTTTCCCAGCGCTCCCAGTGTTGGGTTTCCCAGTTCTCCCAGTGTTGGGTGTCCCAGCGCTCCCAGTGTTGGGTGTCCCAGCGCTCCCAGTAGAGGTGTCCCAGCGTTCCCAGTATGGCTGTCCCAGCGCTCCCAGTGTTGGGTGTCCCAGCGCTCCCAGTGTTGGGTGTCCCAGCGCTCCCAGTGTTGGGTGTCCCAGTTCTCCCACTATGGCTGTCCCAGTTCTCCCACTATGGCTGTCCCAGCGCTCCCAGTGTTGGGTGTCCCAGCGCTCCCACTATGGGTGTC